CCTGTGGGCAGATCCTTCATTCTCGGAGTCACCATTGACCCAAAAAATCTTGAATTGGCATTCGCATTGGTGTATGTCACTCTACACTAATCGTTCATGACCTTGCCATCACAGGCGGGCATCGTACACGAGGAGCACTTGGTGATGATCATTTGGGAGTGAGAAACAGCACAGCCAAATAAGTGTTTCATATATAGATGATGCAATTTGGGTGTGAAATATATAAATTCTAATATTTTATGTGTTACATTTATAAATCGCCCTAAAAATTATGTGGTATGCATGCAAATCCACCCATACCTTTTTAAATATTCAATGACTGTTAGTTTAACCATAACTCCAAGTCGGGCGAGCGAAAATGGGGTTCGAGTTTCCCTACGAATTGCGGTGTTGGTGGGAGTACACCATCATCTTCTTCCTCCGGCCTCTTCTCGCGATTCTCTTCATCTTCTCTTTAATCCTCCTCAGTGAGTACCGATTTCTATCCGCCAAGCTTCATCTTAAAATTCCCTTTGCCAGATCGATTAACCGCAGCTTGCGGGGGATTTCTGATTTCCTCTCGGGACACTCTCGCCATGCCCTAATTGTCTCGTTTTTCTTCATTTTAGGCTGGTTTGTGGCGTGGAAGACGGTGCTGGTTCACGTGCCGTTGGTGCAGGAAATTTTCGGTCTCCGCAAGAAACCCGTCAGGCCCAAGCCTCCGAACCGCCACCGTTTTTCTCGGTTCTACAACTCCAATTCATCTATCAGGTCTGTCGTCCTCTTAGGTTTATTATGTGTAAATTTCGATGCCGTAGTCTTATTATTCCACTCTATAATGCCCGTCACAAGTTGGAGCGGGACTTGATCTGTTTTTCTAATCATAGGATGGTCAATAAATTGATTACTTCCTTGTGAGAAGGGATGGAATTCTATGACTGTGTTGTGCAATATTAGGGCTGTAAGTGGGCCAAGCTCAACTGGAGGGCATAGCCCTGTTGAACATGATTTGAGTTCTAAAATTTCATTGAAGCTTGTATAATGGTTAAGCTTGTTTGATAGTTTTTTATGTCTTAAGCTGAAATAGATCAGTAATCCAGCTTGTTCTTACGTGTGTGTAGTCTGAAATGGAATAGTAATCAGGGTTGGTTATTCTTTTGTGGTGATAATGATATATCCATTTTACCTTATATTCAAACATAAATTTATTTAGACGTTCAAAATTTATTTAATTTGATTTTTTTTTTCACTTTTGGTTCATGGCTCTAAAGTTGAGTCAGAATATAGTATGAGTAATTCCTTTTGAGATGAGATAGATGAACTCTTATAATGTTTACCTAAGAAAGAAAAAATAATCATCATGGATGCCTTAAATTTACAGTAGTTATTTTTTGGATAAGATTCATGGTAGATTGGATAGGAAGTAAAATTTTGGAATGAGAAGAAACACTTGGTTTCCCGGTAGTATTGATCTTGCAAAGAAATTTAGTGGAAAAAATTGATCATAACATAGATTAGTAGTTATATATATTTTTTATAGGATTATTAAAAAATGATCAATAGAATTAAATGCCCTTGGGATAAGATGGTGCAATTTGAAGCTGAGAAGAGAGAATTGAATCATATAGTTGATCTATACTTACTTGGAATGAGATCGCTATTTTCATAAAAAGGCTACTATAAAAGTTTTAGGAAAACATAGAAATTGAGTGTATGAATATGGAGAGTTGGTAGTGGAGCGAGGAGATGCAAAGATTATTAAAGTAATATTGCCACTGATTGAGGAAATTAAATATCCCTGTAAATTACAATGATTATTAGAAACATTTAATTCTTACAAAATGGAAATTAATCAAATGAAAGCTACAAGTTTTAAATGGCTAGGCACTAAGTTAGAAAAAGTGATATAAAATAGCTTATATAAGAGAAGAGATCTAAGGATATTGATCAAGGTAGATGCAATAAAAATGATTATAACAGTTTCTCTATTAAAATTAAAAACAACATAAGGAAAAGAAGAAAAAGGTGGATTGGGTAATTATTAAATGAAAAACTTTGAGCAGAAATCTGTTGGGAAGAGCTTAATAGCATTGTAATGAGAAGTTGAGCTAATCTGAAGAAGATATATAAAGATAAAAGTATAGGTTAGGTGACCTGCCCAATGAAATTTGGCGTTTTTTCTATGATATTGGTATTCTTTGGTTAATCAATCTTTTTCATAGAATTTTGAAGAGTAAGTGGATGTGTAATTTTTGGAGAAGAAATCTTAAGGTATCAATACTTAAGAACATGGGTGGATTCAAGGGGTTTTAGGAATAGGAGACCTTTAACATTTTCACTTCCCCTTTAACGTTTTCACTTGTCACTTATATCATGATGTGTGATATACTTTGCTGAAATACTAAAACCATGGTTCATGAACATTTGGGATGTTCAGTATTGTGATAATTATTTAGTTATCAAATTAATGTCTCAGATAATGAAGTTATGAAAGAAAAAAGTGGATTTATCTCAATATCAAAGGGCAAATTTGTTATGTTCCAAGGAATGCTGATATGGATTTGATTTTTATGTTAATTCAACTAATGAAATAGTTTTGATATGATTTTTTATTGATTTTAGGAAGATGTGCTAGAGTACTTTTAGAATTGATGTGGTACATAGTAAGGAAAAGGTCAGCATATGTCGAATTTTTTTTTAACATATGTTGAAGTTGATGCAACTTACATTAAAAGTGGTTAAAAGTAACTAAAGAGTTTGTACTTATACTAGGACCACAGCAAGGTGTAAGTTTATGTTCATAGCTTTTTATATTGGATGTGGAG